AACAGATAGAATATTTATACCTAATGAGGTAGACAGATTAGACAGATTAGTGACAATAAATCCGAATAGAAATCAAATAGACAGCGCTGCAGTTCGAAGCCTCCTTTGCYTAAACAGAMTTTGTTGAATATGTAAATGTTCTGTAAAGTGGAACTATAGACGTATTGTCAACATTTATATAAATTCATTATATATTTGTAGYTTCTATATTATTTCATTTGCATTGGCGATATGGTGCGCATACATAAARTTTTCCTTGATTTTAGGGTCAATATTTAWTTGTAATTTCTTATATTTGCAATATATTTTGAGCTAGTTGTGGACCAAGTTGTCTGCTATAAGTATGCTCATTTAGAATATATTTAAACTTTATTTAGTTTCTAAATTTATTTTTCATTTAGTTACTTCAACAAGATGAGTTTTAGTTTATCGCTATTAACGGTTATCTTGGTGCTGGGTATTATTGCTGGACAAGGAAATGGAAAGGCCAATCAACTTCTATTTCACGAATTTAATCAGGGTTTTAACGGAGGTCAGGATCTGTCAGCGTACGGAGCACCGAATAACTGTCTATCGAACGTAGGTAGCTACATATAAGAAATCTTTGCATAGAGGCTCATCAAGATTCATTTTTAGTTATGGTCCCCTGAATGCCCGTCTAATGCGTATATGGTACCCATGAGTCCTGAATTAGTTGAATACATTGTTAGCCTACACAACTATTTGCGTAGCAACAGTGGGTCTCCGAATAAAGCGATCCCCTTTCGCTGGAGCAACGAATTGGAAAAGTTAGCCGAATCTAATGTTAAGCAATGTAAGGTCGCTCACGATGATTGTGTGTCCAGTACCTACAAGGTAACCGGACAAAACCTCGCGCTAAATGTCTATACGGGAACATTCAATGCTCGAAGCGATAGTGCATTGGTATTGCAATCCATTAAATCTTGGTGGAACGAATACAAGGCTAGTCAGAAGGAGAAAATTGGTTTTAAAAGGAACATAGTCCTAGGTTGTGCCGCATCCAGATTCTATTCAAAAGGCTCGCATAATTTCCTGATTGCCTGCAATTACGCAACAATTAACAGCCTGGGTCAATTTGAGCTTCGTCAAGGTAGCCCCGTTGGGCTGGGCTACCCATTTTAAAAAACGCGTTATTCTTGAAAAAAAAAAAAAACAAAAAAAACAAACAAACAAACAAATAAAACAAGAAACCGGTTACGTTAAGTCTAACCATATATACTTGATATTTTCACAAGTTTCATAAATAAAGCAAAGCATACATTGAACAATGTTGCTATAATCGTCCGACTTCTTGTGGGCTTTCCATTAATGATTGTTTCTTTTTATTATTATACCCTGAACCCATTACAAATGTTWAATCAGACCCCATAAAGCATATATATTCTTGAGCAGGGCGACGAGCTGGGTCCATTTAGCCCTCAGAAGATATAAGAGCTAGAGACTTTTATTTAAATGTACGCGTATATATAGCACGGATATCGAGTTTATCT